TTTTTAAAACCTTTTTTGCCCTTCTTAAACAAATAGCTTATCAATATAAAAGAAATGAAGCATTATTATATTTATCATTGCAAAGGCTTAATTAGAGCCAAACACAAGAATGTTGGAGTACCTTGTAGGAATCACTGTGTAATTTTGTCTAGAAGCAAATGGATGGGTTTTATCGTATAATTTTTGGTTTTAAATTCGAATTTTCAAGTGAATTACTGTAATTTATCTTTTAAATGAAGAAATGTTATTTGAATTGTAAGAATGGAAAATGTAGGCATCTGTATATAATTTTTTTTATCTGACAACTCAAATAAATACTTGATAAATATACATTGATTTAAACAGAAATCCAGTAGATCATTCTGTTGTGTTCAAATATGGAATTTTCCTTATATGTATTCTGGATGTCGAATTTCCTAGCTAACATCTTAATTTTCAGAAAATTAAATTTTTATTTCAAAGAACTTCAATGACCCCCTCTCCAAAGGTGTCAGTTTAATATATCTTGCAAATTGGGGGACCCACAGCCTAGAGTTTGTAAGCCATGTATTGCTATTTTTATCCAATGAGCTTTCTGATCAAAGTGTCTGGTGCCCCTCTGCTTTATAAGTCAAGCCATCATAGACAACTTCAACCAAACTTCTTTGGATAAACTAGATTCAGCATTGTTCAAAAGAATAGACCATTTGGAGAACTGTGACTTTATTCAAAGTGATATGTAGTGATGAAAATTTTGAAGTTTCAAAAGAATGAAGTTAAGGTCAGACAAGACGTTCCTCAAAATCTGTTTAGTATATCTTCTGTAATGTATGAAAAATATTCAAAATTTTAATAACATCCTGATTTCTAAACCAGTTTATCTGTTTTTGTCCGTCGTCGTACGTTAACATTTGAACATTTCAAGCTTCTTCTCTGAAACCACCTTACCAATTTCAACTAAATTTGGCATATAGCATGTATGGGTAAAGAGGAAAAAAAATTGTAAATTTCATTCCCAGCCCCCCTTGGGCCTGCGGGGTGGGGCAAAAAACCACTAAAATTAGTGCAATCTTTAAAAATCTTCTTCTTTATTAGACATACATTAAACTTTGGTATGATTGTAATAGCATTTAGTCCTCTACAAAATTGTGAAATTCATGGCCCCAGGGTCAGGAGTTCTAGTGCTAGGGCGGGGCTAAACAGGTTATATAGTGAAAATGCATTTTTTTTTTTTTAATTCTTTTCCGTTTCTGGGCATTAAATAAACAAACCCAAGTGCATAGGTAATTGAAAATGACCACCTTATCCAAAATTGTGACTTTTATGGCCCCAGGGTCGGGGGTTTAGTTAGGGCGGGGCTATAGTGAAATGCATCAATTCTTTGAAATTCTTCTTTTCTAAATTCAAAATTAAAAAATGATACATACACAAACAAAATATATTTACCATTCCAGGAAAGTTAAATAATAATATTAAATCCAACATCTGAATATCTGTGTAATTTCTAGGGGTTATAGAAATAAGATGAAAAATAAAAGGTTTAAATGTACACTTCTCATACATAACAACAGTCTTCAATAGAAATTGGTAAAAATAAAAGTCACATTCAGATACTTTGAGGTCTGTGAGAATTAATTCTTAAAGAGTTCATGCTATCAGAAAATCATATTTTCAATACAATTGTACTTGATTTGACTAGATCTCAGTTTAATAAATGGGTACATCTTATCCATAGTCAGTGTCTGACAGTAAAAAAGATACAATCCTGTTACTTTGTCATCCTGTAAACCACAGTCTATGATAATACTGGTTAAATTCGTTGGAAATTATATTTATCTATGTGCTTCTTAAATCCTCCATCCATCTCCTGTTTGATTTTCTTGTTTCAGTGTTCCAAGAGAGGATATTCTGTTAGTCTTTGCATAATCTGATAGTCTTTCACCATTCTGAGAGTAGACATAGATCATTTCCATAAGCCCTCACTAGAGAATCCTGAAAAAAAAAATGATGTCTTGGTTGAAAAAAAAAAATTGTTATACAATATAAGCTTGATAGAATTCTAAATATAGACAAAAAGGGATATAAAAACAAGGTGTTACATCAGATTTTGACTTTTTCATATTAACCATGGGTAACACCTCCAGTAAAGAAAAGAGTAAAGGAATGAGTAAAATTCAGTTTGGAAAGAGAGTTCTTTCAGGGAAAGATATAGACAGAGGTATACCCGTTAAAATAAAAAAAGATGGCACTATTGAGATCATTTCTCAACAAGAATATAATCAATTAAGTCCAGAGAAGGGTGATCCTAATGTTGTCAGAGATTACATAGAAAGACCCTTGATTGCAGAAGAAGCAAATGAGAAATATAACCATTTATTACCAAAAGAGGGTAAGAATTACTTGGATTACCCTGAAAGACCTTTGACTAGAGAAGAAGTCAAGTTTATAGATGATAAGAGAAAACAGTTGTCAGAAAAAAAATGTTGTTAAAGACACATGAATTTTAGCCCACAAAACCATTGGAGAAGATACAAGGATTAATGGAGGAAGTCCAAACTGAATTCTTGGAGGACATTAAGGCTTATTATGAGAGTAACTTTTCCAGTATTTGTTTATTACAAAATTATGTATTCTAATAAAAAAAAAAGTTTTCACTTTCATTTGTTGTGCCTTAGACCATTTAAATTGACCTTATGGTTAAGATTGTGATACACACTCTGATAATCATCTATGATGTCTCTATCATGTTTACCTCAAAAGATTGAATCAGGGTATTTGTGTTCAAAGAGCTGAAAAAACTATACAGACAGATCTAAGATTTTGGAAGCATACATATTAATGGGTTTAAATGAAATATAACACTAGATTATTAAAAAGAAAGAACAAAAACTCATAGAAATGATATTGAAAGTACCTTTTATGAATAAAGTGTCATGCTCCAAGGTATATTTTTTTTTTTATAAACAGGAGAAGGTTTACAACAGTCCCATGCACTCATAAGAAGATCTTGGGAAGTAGAAACACCAGGGAATTTTAATTCCACACAATCAGATTATCTTACATCAGATATAAGGTTACAGTCTTTATACATAGTTAAGAGGGTCATTAAGATTTCTTTTCTGGTCATCCTGATGTGCTACATTATAGTATTCTTTCCCTGTGATATAATGTTAATATTAAATGGGAAATTCAGAATTCATCAGCAATTGGAGTCAAAACTTGCTATCTTTACCAACTATGATATTAAGGAACTGGGGGGGGGGGGGGTTTACAAATTAGCCATATTTAACTTATTCTTTAGATATGCTATCTTCAGCTGTTAACTATCATTTGGCAAAGAAAACTTTCATACATTTTAGTTTCAAAATTTGATCATGCATTTTTGTATATATATTGAAATGGAGCTCTTCTTCTTCTTCTAAAGGAGATCAATATAGTCTAAACATGACCATGACCACCAAGCCCTTTTTATTTAAATATATCATTTACATATCAATTCAATATTATAAACATGCATATGTAAAAAAAAAAAATAATAAAATAATAAATAAATATATATTACAATTGTATCTCATTGAAACTTTACCTTCAAGTTTTGTGTGTTTCTTTGTTGGTTGACTAACTGTGTATTTCCAAAGGAAGAGCAGACAGTCTGAACTTCATAGAGAATTGATTATAGATGGTTAGGAACAATACATATCTTCTATGTTGATGACTGTATAGAAAATAAAACCATTTTGTTAATATGATGGAGTACTGTGTGAAACAATGCATGTTTAAAAATTGAACAAACATGTACAATGCCATAAAATGTTCATGAAAATGTTTGTTTTTAATCTCAAAACAAATTGTTTTTAACATTAACTCCAGATGAGAAAGTTCATCATGTTATCTTTAGATAATAAAAAAAGCATAATTACTGTATTGATATCACAAATAAAATGATTATCAAATTAATTATTTGGACACTAAAAGATTTTTTATTAACAGCAGATTCAATTTTGGTTTAATATCTGTCAGTACTGCATACAGAAAAATACATCTTTTTTAGCATCATCACAGTACAACATGTAGTCCTTCATTTTTTGAAAAGCTCATTACTAAGAAACAAAAGTGAAAATGAAAATATATGTATGCCATATATCCCACATATTTAGAATCAAAACAAAAAGTAAATGACTTAGGATTAATCTTTTGTAAATTCCTCCTTTTCTCTTATTAGATTCCTAATTAATATCTCTTTGATCACCATTTAGTAAGTCTGAATTCCATGGCCATGGGTAACATACATAATGAATTATGAAATTAAATCATATAATTTATACAAAAGGACTTATTAATATTCTGAAGATCCCTTAATCATGTGTTAATATATTTTAGGTTAAATAAGGGTGTGCTTATATGAATGTAAGTTAGAGACAACAGATCATATAAGTATTACACAGTAATTAAATTAACCATATAATCATGCTTAAATGCAAAGATGGCCATCATAGGAAATGTAAAAAAATTAAACAAGACAAACTTACCAGAGATATCCAAATATATGCCCCAATAAGTCTATCCATTAAATAATCCAGTGAAATAACATCTCAGATGATCCTGAAAAAAATCATACAATTCAGTGATACACAATTAACCTCATTTTACAATGTAAGTAAAGCAATAATTTACAGACAAAAGGGACAGAAATGTAAAAGATACCATGTATTTTACCAAAATTTAGAGAACATTTTTCTGATTTAAATTTAATCATAGAATGACCCATCATAGAAATATTAAATACACTCTGAGTTACATGCAGGCTAAACAACTGTAAATCACATGAAATGAGGATAAATATAGTATTTACATTCAAAACAGAACTTTACATATAAATCATGGTTAAATGCAAAGATATGTCCTTCATAGGAAATGTAAACAAAACAAAGACAAACTTACCAGAATTATTCAATTATATGCCCAATTAAATAATCCAGTGAAACAACATCTTAGCTGATCCTGAAAAAAATGCATACAATATTCAGTGATACTCAATTTAACCTCATTTTACAAAGGAAGTAAAGCAACAATTGACAGACAAACAGGACAGAAAAACATGTTTAAATGTAATGCAAAATAATATCTCTTATATATGGATACCTATACTCTAATCAATCATTTTAAATGTCATTCGTAAAATGTATTTTTTAAGACAGATTTATTTAGGATCGACTTTTTAAATGATAACATGAATAGCACGCCATACTTTAACCACATGTCAAAACATTCTCTCAAATTACACAGAAATGGATTATTTAGCATAACTGACATTAAACATATAGGTGAGCAATAACATAATCACAATCATAAACAATGTGAAACAACTTTAAACGACCTACACTGTGGATTACAAGCCTTTTTCACTGGGGTAAAATCTTGCTGAAATTCGCTATGGCCGCCCGAAACCCCGAACCCGAATGTATAAAAGATGAAGTCATACAATAACACAAGTTTGGCTTTCCAGAAAGCCTTAAATGTCATCTCTTTGGCTCCATCTGTGTCAAAGAATAAACAGTGGAATGTAATATTTTTCTATTAAAGACAGAATATTTTTATTATTATTTTTAGGGGAATGGTAATTAGATATTGAACAGGAAAAGGGGTAGCTTTCAAACTCCAAAATCGTATGTTGTGGATGGGAAGGAAACTTTTTAAGTTTTTGATTTTTTCTAAAAAAAAAAAAACATTTATTTGGAGAAGACATGACTATACTAAAAGAAAAATAATGGATAAGGGAGATGATTTGCAGTGAACATGCATTTACAACAGTGAAAGGTTAAAGGGCCGGGCTGGGACTCAGATTTGAAGAAAATATATTTTTTCTGAAATTTTCTAAATAATATCACGATTTCACACTGAACTATATATAAATCGTGTTTAGAAAACTCTTTTATATGGAAAATCCTAAAACTACTAATTTTTGGTCACGTTTGATTGAAACGTATTCTCATACTTTAGTATGTGAAAGGATTATAATCTTCATATAGGCATGTATCTAACTTTGGAATAAATAAATTTTTTAAAGAAAATTTGGATGTCAATTTAAAATACGTTAAACATAAAGGAAAAAATGAATTGGCCATTCATAACATACCTTCGTACTATTCATATAGAATCAATGAGCAATTAATATTTTCTGAGAATTTTGTTTTAAATCACATAATATTAATATAACTAAAAGAATTTTAGATGCATTTGTATTTGTTAATTTATTTAAAAACACACTCAAGATAGTAACAACAGCTGACCAATTTCCACTTAGCGCAATACGATAGTAAAATTTAAAAGGTATCAGCTAAAATTAAGCATTCACGAATTATCTGGAAAAATCCCAATTTGCCAACCCTGAATTTACGACTGTTTTAGGAATATATTTTAATTTTGGCTTCATTTCAATCAAATAGAAAACGTGATTTAATTACTTTTTTGCTATTAATACAATTGAAAATTGTATAAAAAATGATTGCAAGTTCTTTTATTATACGGGGTATATGATTATAAGGAAAACTGTAAACATTCAAGAAAATACTCGATCATAATCTTTGTGAGTTTTCTTCCAATACTCGTAGTTTTTTAAATATATTCTTGTCTCTTCTTATCCCCATGTACATGTATTTTTTTGTAGAAAATGGCAATAAATTATAGAATGACAACCATAAAAAAGTTTTTGACATCAGCAGTTTATAGTACTAAATGCATTAACTTTGATGTTGTTTTTCTGTTAATTCTTGGATCCACGCCTCAGCAGATCATTTGTGATTCAACGCGCTGACCTAGTTAGAATATTCCATCTGGTGCAGATCATAGATCATTTACGCAGTAGCCTACATGTAAACATGTAGATTATTAAATAAGTACATAAATTTTGAACACCATGCAAACAACCAGCAGGCGATATTGTGTGTCTGGCCCTCTGTGATTCCTGTGCAGCCCTTTTTCTTTTTCAATGTTTGGATCGCTCATTGTTTACTGCTCTATATTTAGAAAATCGCATCACCATCAAAGTGATCACTCGGTGCTCCTCGGATAGTTCTTGCCACGCACGAGAGTAATCATCCGAGGCTTACCGATTTTTAATGGCTGCTTACACTGGGACCTCACATCCGGAAATCAAACTTAATATGTCATCTCTCGTGAGAGATGACAATAACACTGATGTGGTATTACATGATATTTTTTTTAATTTTATTTCTTAAAAACTATAAGGGGAGTTTACCAAAAAAAAAATTTATAAGAAAAAAAAAATTTAAAGTTATTTTAAAAAAGTTAAAAGATAAAAAATTTAAAGTTAATTTTAAAAAAAGTTTAAAAAATTTAAAAAGAAATTCTAAGTTTTTTTAAAAAGTGACCTGGTGTTATAACTTGACAGACATAACACACACATGTTTTTTGTATTGTGTGTTATTTGTTATTGTCTTTCAGTAAAAAAATTCAGTTCAAACTGGTTAGGCTGGCTAGACTAGGCTGTCTAGACTGTAAATGAAAAAGTGTGACGTGATAATCACATTGTATTTATACAGTGGATGACGTCACAATGCATAGGTAAGTTTATCGTACTTTTTGCACACGGCACTTTATAGAGGGTGCAAACAGGTATATAAGAAAACACAGGTAAAATGTATATTTCTTTTGCACACGACCCTCAGTTTTTTGCACACGGGTCCTTTATAGATGATGGAACAGGTATATAAGAAAACGCAGGTAAAACGTATATTTTTGCACACGGCCCCTAAAATATTCCTATAGTATATAAACCAGAGCTAGGAGTACCCTGTGCTCATTATATCCATCATGAGTTTTGTGTGGAGAATTCTATATTGGATTGATGTAGAAAAATATATCTGTCATTACTGTGATCAGAATACGAGGAATGGTAAATCATTAACAGTGTATAACCCCTGCCCCGGATGGAATTTTAAAGTCTATCCGATTTGCGAGCATTGTGAAATGCCATTACCACACTGGTTTAAAGATGATGAGCCTTCCATGGAGACTTGTGGTTGTAGCTGGTGCCTGAAATATTTCATCCGGGAGAAAGGCATTGAGAATATACCACCTCCCCGATGGATGAAAATGACTAGGAACAGACCCTTGAAAGAATGTATGATGTGCTACGAGGAAAAGACTCAAGGGAAATGGAAATGCGGACAATGCAGGCAATATCCGTGTTGTGAAAAGTGTGTGAAGAAACTTTTTGAGACTTCCTACCAGAAATGTCCCTTATGCCGATACAGTGGAAATTAAAATCATTTTTTGTATTTTTCATTGTGAATAAAAATTGAATAAAAATCAAAATCTGTGTTCTTGTTTTCACTAAAACCAGTTCAAACCGGTTATAGGACTGTCTAGACTGTGAATGCGTGACGTCATAATCACATTCTTGAAATGTTTTTTGCACACGGCGCATTTTTACCTGTATAGTCAGCATAAAAACAAAAAACATAGTACTTACGTATAGTGTAAACAACTCCAGTATTTAAGGGGGAATAGGTTAGGGGATAGGGTTAGTTAGGGCTAGGGTTAGTTAGGGCTAGGGTTAGTTAGGGTTAGTTAAGGGGCTAGGGTTAGGGTTAGGGTTAGGGGGCTAGGGGTTAGGGTTAGTTAGGGTTAGGGGGTTAGGGTTAGGGTTAGGGGGTTAGGGTTAGGGTTAGGGGGTTAGGGTTAGGGTTAGTTAGGGCTAAGGGGGATAGGGATAGTTAGGGATAGTTAGGGTTAGTTAGGGCTAGGGGGTTAGGGTTAGGGGCTAGGGTTAGGGTTAGGGTTAGGGTTAGTTAGGGTTAGGGTTAGGGTTAGGGGGCTAGGGGGTTAGGGTTAGCACTGTACTCAGTTGACCCACTTATCCCCTCAGCCTCAGAACTGATCACATGATTTCTCTCAGCCAATCAGAATCTTCCGGGCTATCGGGACCCTTTATACTACTCTTACCTCCTGCTAATACGGGTTCACCATTGTCGTCGTATCTTTTTCTCCTTCGGAGGAAAAAACCTTGATCTGAGCAAGCAAAAAAAAGTTGGTTATTAAATTTTTTTTAAGTTTTCAGAATTTTAAAACTTTTTTATTTTATCCAATTACCTCTTCCATACGGCACCAACAGGACTGGACTTTCCAAGATGATACAAATGATGAGGAAACAGAGCGCTTTCTCTTTCAACATCTTACCGACAGGATTGCTGAATGATAAAATCACGGACGTGCTGTGACAGGTCTTAGCATCTGAGGCCAATACATGTATGTCTCATTGACAAGTCATAGAAAAAAATAATAATTTGTTTGGCAACAGCGGCGACAGATGTATTTTTGTACCTATTTAATTATATATTGATAATATTTCTTGACCCGTAAAATCATCATCTTATGGAACGTTACAGTGCTCGCAGCCATTGTTATGTATTGTTATCTATAGATTTTTTTTTTCTCAAGACGAAATTATTACAATAATATGTACATCAAAAATAAATGAATAATAAATAACGCAGCAAAGTTAAGGTCGCAAATAGAAATATCGGCGATTTTTTAAGATAAAAAAACACATACTGTATTAGGATTGGCGATTCTTTTTAGGAATTCACTTATATAAAAAAAACTGTAATGTAGTTTAAATCTACATGTTGGTGACATCTAGATTTTTTATTTAGACTTGTCATACGATGTCGACCTAATATGACTTTGGCAATTATACTTGCAGTTTAGAGGTCATCTATAAATTTTAATATTGCAAGGGCATAACCAAGTTAAAAATCTTAGTTTATTTTATAATCCTTTTCAACACTATATGTAGTTTGAGAAACGTGCTGCGAACCTATATAGATTACCTTTTTTAATTGGTAAAATTTAATTTGTTGGACGGCAGGTTGAATATTTTGTTGGTCAACTACATTACATATAGCTATAATTAATTTATTTGCAAGATTTCAAGAGGTTCGCAGCACTTATCAAATATCTTAATGCTTCTTGAGTCTATGTGTAAAATTTTGACAAGATACATTGAGGGTATGCCCTTGCAATAAATCGATTTATTAGGGCCCTTCCATTACTTTTTTAATGAATCTGCATACAAACACACGACAGTATCGCTTGTCTGGAGAATGCACGTACTGTTTATAAATAAAATACTAAAATAGACATCGCATCCAAGTTAACAGCTTTTTATTTAACTGCAAATAAAATTTTATTTCAGAACAAAAGATATTTTTCATTGTACAAAATGTGACTTGATCAGTCTCTCACTGTGTACAAATTGCGTCATTTTTGCGAGATGACGTCACATTGACAAGTGCATTTCGATCGATGTATCGTTTATATACTGTTGTGTGGGATTTAACAAATGACAAAACTGCATGTAATAGTAAGTTTGTACATGTATGTAGTATACAGCTATCCAGCTGTTTGAAATAGCAAATAATTTCATCTTATGGTATTTTGAAGACATTATATTATGTGTGACGTCATAGTAAACATTTCCCATACAAATTAGGCCCCGCCTCCTTACTGTAACCTTAACTGTGCTGCGAAATACTTTATCCAAAGTTAATTGAAGACAAATGCTACAAACAGCCCTAAAAGGACCTTGTCTTAGATCTATAGACAGTCGAAAAAAAGGAAAGGTACCCAAACATGCACAATTAACAAAGTCAAAAAAAAATACCAAGAAAACACACATAGACAGAAAACAAACAAGATGCCCATGGGCCACATCGCTCACCTGAGCACTGTCGCTAGGAAAAAGTAGAAATTGGTTTATCATTGAAAAGTTTAAATCCAAAAGTAGTCCCATGATCAATCATGGCTTTGCTTTTCTTGAGACGATGATTTTTAAAGAATTTTCCAAAATATGTCTATGTAAAACTTTGGTCGGCCATTGTGGCCCCGCCCTACCCCCAGGGGTCATGATTTGAACAAAATTGAATCTACACTACCTGAGGATGCTTCCATATTTATAGGATCAATTATGGCTTTGCTATTCTTGAGAAGATTTTTAAAGAATTTTCCTATATATTTCTATCTAGAATTTTGGTCGGCCATTGTGGCCCCGTCCTACCCCCTGGGGTCTTTATTTGAACAAACTTGAATCTACACTACCTGAGGATGCTTCTATATAAATATGATCAGTTATGGCATTGCTATTCTTGAGAAGAAGAATTTTAAAGAATTTTTCTATATATTTCTATGTAAAACTTTGGGCGGCCATTTTGGCCCCACCCTACCCCTGGGGATCATGATTTGAACAAACTTGAATCTACACTACCTGAGGATGCTTCCATATTAATATGATCAATTATGCCTTTGCTATTCTTGAGAAGAAGATTTTTAAAGAAATTTCCTAAATATTTCTATGTAAAACTTTGGGCGGCCATTTTGGCCCCCGCCCTACCCCCGGGGGTCATGATTTTAACAAATTTGAATCTACACTACCTGAGGATGCTTCTGTATAAATATGATCAATTATGGCTTTGTTGTTCTTGAGAAGAAGATTTTTAAAGAATTTTCCTATATATTTCTATGTAAAATTTTGGTCGGCCATTGTGGCCCCGCACTACCCCCGGGGGTCATGATTTGAACAAACTTGAATCTACACTACCTGAGAATGTTTCCCCATAAGTTTCATCTTTCCTGGCACTGGTTCTTGAGAAGAAGATTTTTAAATCATGCCACCAAATTTTCATTAATTCCAAATTATTTCCCCTTAAATGAGGGCGTGGCCCTTCATTTGAACAAACTTGAATCCCTTCACCCAAGGAAGCTTTGTGGCAAGTTTGGTTGAAATTAGCCCAGCGGTTCTTGAGAAGAAGTCGAAAATGTGAAAAGTTTACAGACAGACAGACAGACGGACGCCTGACAAAATGTGATCAGGAAAGCTCACTTGAGCCTTCGGCTCAGGTGAGCTAAAAATGAAAGGTGTCAGGCACCACACAGATTGAAAAGTTTACTCAGTTCTTTGAAAAACAATCCTTTTTCAGAAAATGGGAAATCTTCAATGAAAATGTACAGTGAATATCAAGGAGCAGCCCAATTTAATTTGTGTTGTACTCGAAGAAACTCTATAATAAACTCTTAAATGCTAAAAACAAGTCGTGCATATGTGTGTACATGTAAATGGTAAAGGTTCGTTGGAATAATCTGCATGGACTCTGTATCGGACGATGAGATCGATGTCAGTGGATTTTCTGTAAAAATCTGATCAAGACCGAACTTTAAAAATAAGTACATGTAAGGTCATGGAAAGAGATTTTAATTTCGCTAGTTTCAAGGTTGTTTATTTTATGAAAGCATTATACATTTATATAAAATACATACCTAAGAAAAAAAAATGCCAAAATATATTATTTAAACGGGGGGTGGGGGATGGGGGTGGTAAAAAGAAATTGTCTGAACCAATTTTACCTCATTAAACAGTGGGTCATTTATCCTAAAACTTTTATTTATTTATTTATTTATTTATATTTATTTATTTATTTATTTATTTATTTATTTATTTATTTATTTATTTCTTTATTCATTTTTTTAATATTTATTTTTAATTGTTCCTTTTTGCTTGTGTTGTATTTTGTCACTTTAAGAAAATATATTATTTAATGAAAACCTATGGGATGAAATGAAGATTTTACAAAAACTTCAAGCTTTTCAAAGGCCGACTTTAAGTCCGTCTCCGGTTCTTCTCTTACAATGTTTGTAAAACAGGAAGTAAACAGTACCCGCCAAGAATACAAGTTTATACGGGAAAAATAGTACACACTTAGTTGTTATTTGCGGTGGGGAACTGTTCTAAGTAAACTTTAACATGCCTCGAGAAATTATCACCCTACAGCTTGGACAATGTGGAAATCAAAGTAAGCCAATTTCATTCAAAAGTTACATCTTAAATCTCGGAATGATCGTTTGGTGTTAACTCGAATGTCCTTTGAATTGGCAAAGTTTTAAAATCATGATTATGGTGTCAAATTTCTGCATGTTTCTTGATAGATATATTATGTCAGCATGTTGGAAAAGTTTGTCATCTTGCGAGAATGCTTTATCAATTAAGCTATGTAGAATAGCTTATTTGACCATGTAAAAAAAAAAAGCATCAAATTGGATAGTACAATGTAAATAATGTTGTGTTGTTTTGTTTAATTTTAGTTGGAATGGAATTTTGGAAGCAGCTCTGTGCAGAACATGGAATTAGTCCTGGTAAGAGTATATACTATAAATCACTTTTTATTCGCAAGAACTTTATTTTGCTTAATAACGCGAATCTGCCAGCTCACGAAAATTGTATTCTTGCATATATTTGTTTTTTAAGGAATATTTAAAACAGAAACCACATTTTGCGAAAATATTGTCTTGCTAATAAATTCTGAATAACTTACTCACGAAAATAAGATGCCGTGAAATTATTGTGATCTACAGCAGGTCTGGCACAATCACTAGATTTAGCTACGTAGCTTGATTTGCCTACTTAGCTTTATTTACCTACCTGAGGTAGCTTTATTTAGCTTCCAAATCAATTTGTTTATATAAAAAAGCATTTTTTTCAGGATGTGCAGAAAATCTCATTTTGATGCAGTGATCATTTTCAACTTTGAACTCATCTGAAAAAAATTCATGTAAAAATCACAGTTCTCAAAGTTTTGGGGCTATGTATGACAGTTAGAACAGTTACTCTAATCAGGGCTCTCACACCACTTTTGGGACTGGGGCCGGGGCCGTTCAAATTGGGAAAATTATCGTCATTTTGGGAAAAATGGATAACCAAAATTCATCTGAAAAAGTCCTCAAATTTTGCTTTTCTAGCATTTTGCCATTTTGCCCTGGTTTTGAATAAACAATAAAACAGAACAAACATGGGTACGTAGGCTATTTATGAAAGTACATTAGCTTTGTCAATGCTATCTTTGAGTGTTGATATTGCGGTTTCATGTCTTTCTGAGTGACAGTCGCTAGTCACATAGTCCCGAATTTCCTCGATCACATGGACAACTTTGCTTACCAATACAGCGCGAAACTGAACATGCCGACGTGTGGGTATGTTTCTAGGTGCAGCTTACTGATGTTTAAATGAAATGTCTATTTTTGAAACCAAAATGATGTTTTTTGTCGAAACTACATGACAAGATACTCTGCTCTCATAGTTTGTACACATTTTTGTAAAAACAAAAGCTGTTTCCCCGAACCAGTTTACGAATGCATTTGGCGCAAACTAATAAAATAGTAGTACAGTTTCACTTTCATTTGCAAGTGTGTTTTGTTTGGTTTTTTGCGATTAAGTTTCATGGACTTTTATTTTTTAATTAATATTTGCTATGGAAATTGGGAAATTTACACCTTTCTTTTGGGAAAAAAGGTACCTTTTTAGACGGAGGCTGTATGACAGCCTCCGTGTACATAGGGATTGTCTTGCCCATGGAATGTAAACAGGAAGGATTTCCCAAGCACCATCTATCGGTGGAATTGTTTTCATTACCTTGAGAATTCTATTTTTAGAGCGACTCTGCGTTACACCGACCGCTAGGATAGGCATAGTCTAAAACAAAGATCGCGTCACATACAAGTATAAACAAACAGTTCTACTTTTTCTAAAATAAACAGGATTTTTTCTAATATTTTTAAAATGACGTGTATATAAATTAGGGATGTCAACGAGTACCCGGTTAACCGGGTACTCGATCGAACGTCCGAGTATCGAATACTAAAATCGGTACTCGGTTACTCGGATGTATATTATTGAATATTTCTAAGCTTATTTCTTAATGCATTAAACAATCTGTTTTAAAACGGAAAATACTCATTGCACTTGAACATACAGCAATTAGGGTTTCCTACTCCTCTGAATGACGGTTATCGCCTGTGGCAGTGTTTATACAGTAATTATCGTGACCAAGCACCTGTTATCTGGCTTTTCTCACCTTCGGCTGTCTTCTACCCTTATTTTTTGATTATCATTAATTATTTGTTTTCACTGCACATTGTTTAAGGTCTTTTATAATTCAATAAATAAGATAATTTTTTGTCAATTCTCCGAGAAGCCGTATATTCTCGAGAAAAGAGACAGGTGATAGTAAAGGCGCGACTGTTGATATGGTTGTATTTGATTACATGCCAATACATGTACAAATAGTTGAAGGCAAAGGCTTTAAAAAACTGATGTCCATCGTTGCACCAAACTACAAAATACCGTCCCGTGATACTATAAACCACTTACAATTTTATTTCTTGTGTTTATCTGATAAATAAATTGAACTTAAAAATGTGTATTAAATTTCGTCGGGCACGAAGTTGTCATCATTGTTACAACAGAAATGCATTAATTTTGTAAACCTCCTATCAGAGCATGTGGTTTTATTTCTACAAGTGTTTACAAATTGGTTTACATTCATCAATTTACTTGTTCATATTTATTTACACTTTTACCGAGTACCCGGGTACTCGATCGCAAAAACGTCCGAGTAACCGAGTATTAAAAATTGACCGATTTGACATCCCTAATATAAATACATTTCCTACGAAATATGTAAAAAAAAATGTGATTTACTATTAATTTTTTATCAGACAGAATATTAGGAGATTTTGTTCCAACAGACGATGATAAAGCATGTTTTACAATATGCCGAGCCTTTTCCCGCCGGTTCTCACACCAAAACAAGAACGAGAAGAAATGAAGTGGCGGATCTAGAGGGAGTTGGGGGGGGGGTTAACATCCGCGGAGAGTGATCGAGGAACCCCACTTATCAATTGCTTCTTTTATTAAAGTAAAAACTATCTCTAGTTACAGATAAGTTTAAACTTTAGTTTTATATTTAATTGTAAAAACTTCCACCAGAATTCGCCTTGTATCAAACTAAGTGTGGAGACGCAGATGTACCTGTATTATGTATTGAAGAAAATCCTGCTATGTCGCATGCAAATGTTTTATGTCGCAGGTATAAATATAAGACATTTTAATAATAGATCAAGCATTTCAGTTTTAATGGAATTTTTTGTGCTTGATTGTTGTTTGTAATCTCATTTTCATTCCTTTTCTAATTTCTTTTTGAAAGGACCGATAAATTGGTTTGCGGCCGATTTTTGATGCTTGCATCAATAGGTATCATGGAGTTTTTTAATCTGACAAGGATCGATGAATAAACAAATGCATAGTATTTTTATATGTAGGAATATTAACAGTCTAGTTTTGAATTGTTTATTTGATATTATGTATAATTTCAGGAAACACGTGAAAATAGATTTACACTTTCTACAAGTGGTTTGAGTGTTTGGGGTACCCTCACATTAGTTAAGAGAGAAACAAACGGCAACTCTGATATTGAGATCAAAATGCATTTGTAACGTTTGACCCTTGGGTACAACCCAAATCTTGGTTCATAGGATTTACATGATTTATCACATAATATCCTAATTAATAATTAAAATCATATCTTCTGAAATAAGTTGTCTTATTGTCATATCGTTGATCCTTATTTGCATTTGATACTTGTGTTTTACCTCTTTCACATCCCAAACTTTAATTATTTTTTATATACAAGATTACATGTATTTCTGATCATTGGTATTCATGTCATTTTTTTTTAACCTACATCATTGGTAAAGTGATTGTTTTAACTGAAAAGCAGAAATCATAGTTATATATTTATAACTTTTCTCTACGTAATTTGTAATCATGTCTCATTGTTAATGACTGTTTTAAACAGATAAACTGAAAAGGACAACCATTTCCACTGGTATACGAGTAAAGAAAGACATTTTTTGGGTTAATCTGTCATGTGATAAAATACTACATTTAATAATTCCAGAAATATTGGTTGTCAAATTTGTCAAGATACCGGTATATCTTTGTTATTGTAAGCAATACTCCAGTTCTCCAAAAACAATTTAAACTTGTGAAATAGCAAGTCTTATGAACTTGATTGTTCTGTTTACATAAAGTAAGAAAGTATATTTTATTCCACTCAAAAAATTGTGTTCTGGCACGAACATTTATTGCATGTTAATGAAGTTGTATTACTTAAAGAAAATTCTGTGTTGCTTTCAAGCTAGGTCACCCCATTTTGTATCACAAAGGTTTAAGACAAACTGTACTATATTATGTTGTTCATGTCCACTTACCTGGCTGCTTCTTTTTCCATGTTAGCTCATATCATAACATTATTACAATAAGGCCGAGAAATTTTGATTTTGGTAGCTGCTACATGTCATAATTATGTTAACAGTAGGTCTCTGTGACCTATAAATAAGATATCTTGAAATATGGAGACTCCTGACAGGCTGAGGCCTAGTGCTGAATCCAGAAATTCTGAAATAGGGGGACCAGTTTGAGGTCAGGGAAGGGGCCCACAGCCACAATTAAAACACTCATTTATCAAATATTGCGTATTTTTTGGACTCAAAAGCGAGGGGGCCAGGGGCCCCTTTTAATTCCGCCAGTGGGCTCATGACTAGAACATACTAAACCTACATTCATCAAACCGGGCCTGGGGGCATACAACTTAGACAAGCTCACTTTTGATCTCAGTCTCACTTTTCCACTATATATTCCTTAAGTGAGACTGGGATAAAAAGTTAGCCCGTCTAAGTTTTATGTCAACCAGGCCTAGTCAATTACTGTTTCTTACTTTGAAAGGTTTAATATTGAAAGTATCTCATCTAAATAACAGTGAACTTTAATCAAGGCGAAGTTTACATTACAAAGATGAAATTATAATATCCCAAAAACCTCATGAATATTGGAGTATCCTTTGAAAAAAATGTTGAATTGAAAAAAACTACACATTATTTCTCATAATATTCTTTGCAGCAATGTATGACATATATATTTCTTTTGTGTTCTCTCATACATGTATGAAGCCTCCGTCTAACAGTACTTTCAGTACTTTGATTTGCATTGGGAACGGGGCCGAATATCGGCCCCAGATTTAGAGAATCGAGAGACCTGCTCTTTGAATAAAATGACAAAGAAGTCCAGTTCTGATTAACATGATAATGGGTCGGTAATTATTCAACACAATGTGAAGTAATCATAATCAGTCATGCCTCACCGCACCCAATACTGAGGACAGTTAACCAAACAATGGAATTCATAACAAAAGACAGTCACTGTCACTGAGGTTTTAAGTTTCTTCATATCTCAATGGGTTCGGCATGACACAGTGGTTAGAGCAACTATTCAAGAGTCTTGGTGTAATGAGTTGATCCTTAGGCCTAAAAAAAAAATATGTTTGTTTCCTGTAACCCGACCGACCCATTCAAATTATCCCCGGGTGGATTTTTTTTTTCTGACAAATGGCAGAACTTCGTTTGATCAATCAGCTGATTCCATTTATTAAATTTAAAAAAATAGCTAGTAGCTTAATTTGAGACATAAAATATGTCAACTTAGTGTACATTTACCTTAAATATAAAGAGTAATCATAATTGTAACAACAGTTTCCCCCTACAACTTTCTGAAGTTTGTTTTCTGCCGCTTGGCAGCCATTTTGGATGCCATATTTGGTGTCCACTGTAAATGTAACACCTGGTATTTTCGGTCCGGGGATGTTCGGTGCGTCGATTTACCCAAAAGGACCCAAAAGGACCCAAAAGAACCCAAAAGGACCCAAAAGGAACCCAAAAGGACCCAAAAGGAAATTAAGAACAACCCAAAAAGACTTGAATAAAAGATAATAAATGGATATATAATAAACATTTTCATATTTTATTAAATCTTAAACTAGTATTTTGAGGGTAAAGTGTGTGTTAGGGGTGGGGGTGGGAGGTCCCCCACCACCCACCACCCCCACTCATCCCCGACACCATATGCCTAGAACATGTCATAAAATAAAACTTTTTTCATTTATTAAATATCATATAGTAAGATATGGTAAAACAGAAAGAGAAGTAGATTAATACTTTGTTAATTTCAGCTAAAAGAAATCAAAGCATACCTGACCAGATTTAGTGTTTGATGTGCTTGAAAACTTGTATGTTATTGTTACAGTTGCAACAATACTTCGCCTTAGGGCTATGAACAATATAAGTATGTTTTGCCAACTTTTATGTAAAAATATAATATAATATTCGTGATTTACTTCAAATTATTAATTTTCAGTGTATTATGATAGATTAATTAAAGTCCTTTTGGGTTCCTTTTGGGTTCCTTCTGGGTTCCTTCTGGGTTCCTTTTGGGTCCTTTTGGGTTCTTTTGGGTCCTTTTGGGTCCTTTTGGGTAAATCGACGCACCCGGGGATGTTTGACCATTCATAAGCAAAAAAAAAAAAAAAAAAAAATTTCCGACCTACCGACCCGACCCTTGATTTTTAGCTCTTCTGAGCCAAAGGCTCAAAGAGCTAATGCTATGGCCATTTGTGCGGTGTGCGTCGTGCGGTGTGCGGTGTGCGTTAACTTTTTAGAATATGGGCCATAACTCAAGAACCCCTTGGCCAATCAGTGTCAAATTTGTCACAGGGTATCCTTGGCCCAAGGGCTACCATTTGTACTAAAATAAGGATTGGGACCCTAAAACAAGGGGAGATAATCAGGAAAACAAAACCAAAAGTACTGATTGCAAAAAAATCTTCTTCTCCAGAACCACCAGGCAGATTTTCACCAAACTTACATGCAATGATCAGGATATGTTGAAGATTAAAAATTGTTCAAGGCATGACCCTGGGGCAAAGGGCGTGGTCTCAAGGTCACTTCAAAGTTGACCTAAATTTACAATTAATGAAAATGTCTATATTTTGCTTACTATAAGGACTAGGATCATCAAATCTTGTAAGTAGATGCATCTTAGGACTTCACATCATGTTAACTCAAAAGTAGGTCACGGTGACCTACTTTTTTAATTTTGCGGGCATTTGTTTACAAATTGATTTGAAGGCATATTTAGGACACTTTAAGGCCTATGATCATCAAACTTTGTCAGTTGATGCATCTTGGGTCCTTGAACAACGTCAACTTAAAAGTAGGTCACCGTGACCTACTTTTTGAACTTTATGACTTATCCTTTTTAAAACATTTCATCCCAATATTTCAGACACTGAGAGGGTTAGAATCATCAAATCTTGTAAGTTGCTGCATCTTGGGACCTTAAAACATATTTAAGTAAAAGTAGGTCACTGTGACCTACTTTTTGAACTTTATGACTTATCCTTTTTAAAACATTTCATCCCATTATTTCAGACACTGAGAGGGTTAGAATCATCAAATCTTGTAAGTTGCTGCATCTTGGGACCTTAAAACATATTTAAGTAAAAGTAGGTCACTGTGACCTACTTTTAGAATTTTGCAGGCATTTGTTTTCAAATTGTTTAAAAGGCATATTTTGATTACCTTCAGACCAATGATCATCAAACTTGGTCAGCTGATGCATCTTGGGACTCTGAAAAATGTCGACCAAAATGTAGGTCACTGTGACCTACTTTCGACATTTTACGGCTATATTTCAGTATCTTAGGTTTTTATTGGCTTAGAATCATCAAACTTTGTGAGTTGATGCATCTTGGGTTTTCGGAGAGTGACGACCAAAAATTAGGTCACGGTGACCTACTTTTAATATAATATAGCTATATTAATGTATCTCCAGTACTTTTCAGCTTAGAATCATTAAACTTTGTCAGTTGATGCATCTTGGGTTTTCGGGGAATGTCGACCAAAAAGTAGGTCACGGTGACCTACTTTTGACATTAAATGGCTATATTTATGTATTTCTGGTACTTATCGGTTTAGAATCATCAAACTTTGTTAGTTTATGCCTCTTGGGTTTTCAGAGAATGTCGACCTAAAAGTAGGTCACAGTGACCTACTTTTGAATATCTCAGGTATTTATTGGCTTAGAATTATCAAACTTGGTTAGCAGATGCATCTGAGGCCTCTGATAAATGTCAACCAAAATGTAGGTCACGATGACCTACTTTTGACATTTAATAGCTATATTTAAGTATCTCCAGTACTTATCGGCTTAAAATCATCAAACTTTGTCAGTGTATGCATCTTGGGTTTTCGGAGAATGTTGACCAAAAAGTAGGTCACGATGACCTACTTTTGACATTTTATGGCTATATTTAAGTATCTCCGGTACTTATTGGCTTAGAATCATCAAACTTTGTTAGTTTATGCCTCTTGGGTTTTCAGAGAATGTCGACCAAAAAGTAGGTGACGGTGACATACTTTTGAATATCTCCGGTACTTATTGGCTTAGAATCATCAAACTTTGTCAGTTAATGTATCTTGGGTTTTCCAAGAATGTAGACCAAAAAGTAGGTCAAGGTGACCTACTTTTGAATATCTCAAATACATATTGGCTTAGAATCTTCAATCTTAGTTTGTCTATTATGTATCTTGAGTCCTCAGAAAACTTCAATCTTAAAGTTGGTCACCATGACCTACTCATGGTTTTTTTTTATAGCTTTATTGAAATATCCTAGTCCTAATTGGCTAAGAATCATCAAACTTTTTATCAGATGATGCAGCTTAGGTTTTAGGATACCTAGGGTTAGAGGATTCAAATACAAGTGATAGGTTGTACAATTTATCAGAAGAGCGATTCAAGGCCCTTGGGCCTCTTGTTTGGGAATGTTACAGGAAACAAACTTATTTTTTTTTAAGCCTTACGTCATGGGTCCAATTCCCACTGTGGGACATGGAGACCAGTCCTTTGGATGAGACGGTATAAAAAGAGGTCCCGTGTTGCAATATGTGCTGGCACAAAAAAGATCCCTGATTGCTCAATTGCCGTAAATGTCAAGTATAGGACAACATTTTACACTCCCCACTGGCAAGTGGTGGCGTCTCCATTTCAGTAAAAAATTCTCGAGAAGGGACGTTTAACACCAAACAATAAATCAGATCTAGATGGAACAAGGCCAAAATGGGAAGATCAAATGAAAAATCTTTGAATGTGTATTCCAGAATATACATGGAACATTACTAATTTTGGTATCTTGAAGTATTGTGGAATTCAGAAATTAATGTATGTAGGTTTAGTTTTCTTGAAACTGAAAATATATACCATATCACATTCACAATATGATACTGAATCAGAATAGTTTAAGAAATACAGAAGGAACATTAGCAAAGAAGAAAACTATTCTCCATTTCATTTCTACAATAATTGGTTTGCATTTCTTTCTCAAAAAATATCAACATGCATGGCTTTACATGTTTTATTTCTGTTATTTGATTTTATTTTTCAGAGGGTATCTTAGAGGATTTTGCTACGGAGGGAACAGATAGAAAAGATGTGTTCTTTTATCAGGTTTGTGTTGACAGCAAACGTGGTAAATGTTTTTTAAAATCTTGTACAATGATAATTTTCTGTAATTTTACCATCTTAGCCGTGCATCACCTTGCATTTAAGGATTCAATCAATGAATGAATTTGGGAAATTCACTATTGGCATCTAAAAATCTAAATGCCCTACCTACAGATCCAATTATTTTCATCCTAAGATAGTAGAGTGCATCTAGGTCTCTTATTGTAACTCGGAACTACGAAAACCTCAAACAGAATGTGAGAGATGTTTTTTTTTTTTTGGCAGGCTGATGATGAACATTATATTCCGAGAGCAGTTCTGCTCGATCTCGAGCCTCGTGTCATCAACACAATAATGAACTCACCCTATGCCAACCTGTACAACCCAGAGAATATCTACTTATCTAAGCATGGGGGTGGGGCAGGAAACAACTGGGCTTCTGGATATAGTCAGGTAAATCTTACATAACATATACAATTCAGAGAAGTTCTAACTATCTGTTTCAGGGGGATGGGGCAAGCAACATTTAAGCTTCTGGTTTTAGTCAGAGATCGCAAATAACTCAACATTTTTAAATAACCAAAAAATCCTTATATCTTTTCCTTGACAATTGCTTAGGTTATATGCAGTAAGGCATCTGATATTTTCCAATCTGTACTGATCATTGAGTTGTTGCATGTCTCATGAACTGAGCTGCATTTGACACTGAAAAAAATAAAAATTTTAGATAATTAATAATCATCAGATATTTTTCCTAAATAGGCCGAGAAGTTGTACGAGGAAATCTTTGACATCATAGACAGAGAGGCTGATGGAAGTGATAGCCTTGAGGTAAGGTCAAAGGTCAATTGAAGATGTAAACATTATGTATTAATTGAATTTTTGACAAGGCTTACTCATTAAACAGAAATTGTCAAATCTGAATATCTCAGATATGGCAAGTCTCAAAAATGTTGGCTATCAGGATGTTAATATTGCATACAATTTTCTAATTATTATCAATCTTGTCAACTTGATTCATTTCAAGACTTGATTCAATATATCAAGTTTATGTAAAAGCACCATACATTCTGTTACAGGGCTTTGTTCTGTGTCACTCTATTGCTGGAGGTACAGGTTCTGGGATGGGGTCCTACCTACTGGAAAGACTCAATGACAGGTTAGTGTTATTATTATATAGAGAAGGAGGGGGTGTCAATCTATTGCTGGAGGAATTTGTTCCCAGGTATAGGAGAGAATCAGTGAAAAGTAAGTGCTGTTGTTATATACAGGAGGAGGGGGTGTCAATCTTTCTCTGGAGGGAAAGGTTCTGGGATAAACTCCCAAGTAAAGGGTAGACTGAAAGGTAGTGCTGTTCTCATGAAGAAGAGAAAGGGAGTGTCACTCCTTTGCTGGTTAGAACAGTTCTGGGATGGGCTTCAACCTATTGGAGAGACTTAACCTATCGCTTGAGGGACAGTTTAGGGAATGGGTTCCAAAAGACTGAATGACAGATAAATGTTGTTGTTATAAAGAGGAGAGAGGGTCAAAAAAGAGAGGGGTTTATAAATGAAACTTAGCATAAAATTGTATAATACTTATCTCAAAGGGTTGGAAACAAGGTGGGGGGGGGGGAGTAAAGACTTATGAACAGGATAGGGAGCAATATTTTAGTAGAGGTGAAAAGGAGGGGTGAATAAAGAGTAGAATTGTGAAGTTCTTATATCAATATTATAGATGTTTGATTAATTGTTTATTGTTTAACGCCCAGTCGGCAATACTTGAGCCATATTTCAGCAGATATGGAGTGGTAGAGTTTTGTTGCTAAAAGACGTGTGCAATTATATGAAAATTCTGACAAGGACTGATTTTGGTTTATGCTGGAAACTGAATCCTGATGGTATAAATCACCCAAAACCTTTTGTGTGATGGTACATCCGTAACCGAAAGTCTGAATGCTGACTCTGGTGACGTTCTCATAACTCGCATCAGCAAATTATTACACACTCCATATTAACCTCTTTACAATGTTTTGTTAAGAATCCATATTCAGATTCATCAATTCTAACCTCAGGTTCCCAAAGAAGTTAGTGCAGACGTACTCTGTGTTCCCTAACCTGGACGAAATGTCGGACGTGGTGGTCCAACCCTACAACTCACTACTCACTCTGAAGAGGCTCACTCAGAATGCTGACTGTGTGGTAAGTCAAACTCACTCAGAACGCACACTGTGTGGTAAGTCTACAACTCACTACTCACCCTAAAGAGGCTCACTCAGAATGCTGACTGTGTGGTAAGTCAAACTCACTCAGAATTCTGACTGTGTGGTAAGTCTACAACTCACTACTCACTCTGAAGAGGCTCACTCAGAATGCTGACTGTGTGGTAAGTCAAACTCACTCAGAACGCACACTGTGTGGTAAGTCTACAACTCACTACTCACTCTGAAGAGGCTCACTCAGAATGCTGACTGTGTGGTAAGTCAAACTCACTTAGAATGCTGACTGTGTGGAAAGTCTACAACTCACAACTCACTCTGAAGAGACTCACTCAGAACGCCGACTGTGTGGAAAGTCAAACTCACTCAGAATGCTGACTGTGTGGAAAGTCTACAACTCACAACTCACTCTGAAGAGACTCACTCAGAACGCCGACTGTGTGGAAAGTCAAACTCACTTAGAATGCTGACTGTGTGGTAAGTCTACAACTCACTCAAAACACGGACGGTGTGGCAAGTCTACAACTCACTCAGAACGCTGACTTTGTGGTAAGTCTACAACTCACACAGAATGCTGACTGTGTGGTTATGTCAAACTCACTCAGAAGGCTGACTGTGTGGTAAGTCAAACTCACTCAGAACGCTGACTGTGTGATAAGTCTAGAACTCACACAGAATGCTGACTGTGTGGTAAGTCTACATCTCACTACTCACCCTGAAGAAGCTCACTCAGAATGCCGACTGTGCTGTAAGTCAAACTCACTCAGAATGCTGACTGTGTGGTAAGTCTACAACTCACTACTCACCCTGAAGAAGCTCACTCAGAACGCCGACTGTGTGGTAAGTCAAACTCACTCAGAATGCTGACTGTGTGGTAAGTCTACAACTCACTCAGAATGCTGACTGTGTGGTAAGTCAAACTCACTCAGAATGCTGAATCTGTGGTAAGTCAAACTCACTCAGAACACTGACTGTGTGGTAAGTCTAACTCACTCAGAATGCTGACTGTGTGGTAAGTCAAACTCACTCAGAACACTGACTGTGTGGTAAGTCAAACTCGCTCAGAACGCTGACTGTGTGGTAAGTCAAACTCACTCAGAACGCTGACTGTGTGGTAAGTTAAACTCACTCAGAACGCGGATCTGTGTTTAGTGTACAAATCACTACCCCTAAAGAGACTCGCTCAGAACGCTGAATGTGTGGTATGTTGAACTGTCTCAGAATCTACTGACATCTTGAGAATCATCAAATGTTAGTAGGATACCAATATGACTGGATTTTATGGGTCTCCTTTACAATGAATAACATTTCCACAAATGATTATTTTCAGGTTGTATTAGATAACACAGCATTAAACAGAATAGCTGCTGACCGACTTCATATAGAGACTCCAAACTTCTCTCAGATAAACCAGCTGGTATGTAAATAAAGTTACAGGAAAAATAATGCTTACATTAAAAGAATCAGATAATATACTTTAAAGAGGCATACTGTTTGCCACAGAGATATTTCAAAGTGAATGATTGAAAAATTAATTCCACAGGTATCAACGGTCATGTCCACCTCAACGACGACACTGCGTTACCCTGGTTACATGAATAACGATTTGATTGGTCTAATTGCCTCACTAATCCCCACCCCTCGGCTCCACTATCTGATGACAGGGTACACACCCCTGGCTACAAACTCACAGGTTAGTTTGTTGGGGTATTGACAGTTGAATTGGGTTTTAACTCTGAACATTTTATTTTGTATCATATCAAAAAGTTAAGACAGTTACTACTTTACTGTCACAGGACATTACATGGTGGCTATAAAACCACATGTCCACTTTATTCAAACATACAAAAATATCAAGATTTGCTCTTTTCTCTTTAACAATTTAATCAAATTGAATATCTCTATTGCACTGATAAAAGTATGATTTTATAAAGTGTAAATTCAGAAAATTAAAAGTTATCTTAGACTTAATTTTTTGTGTATGTGTGTGTGTGTGGGGGGGAGGGGTTAAATTTCTCAAAATGCTTTTGTTTTATTAAATAGACATTTCTAATCCAATTTTTATGACCTTGTATCTTTATTTATACAGGTAGCAAGTGTCAGAAAGACAACCGTCCTTGATGTCATGCGGCGACTCCTACAACCAAAGAACATGATGGTGTCCACTCCAGTCCACAGACAGGCAAACCACTGCTACATCTCAATACTGAACATTATACAGGGGGAAGTAGACCCCACACAGGTGTGTATATCATTCTATAACAACCCCCTCCCCCCCCCCACCCCTAACCCCCAGTTGAGCATAAATTTACATCATACAGGGGGAAGTAGACCCCACGCAGATGTGTAGATTACTAGATGCTATTTTGATCTTCCAAGAGGCGGCACTTTTTCGGTTGAATTTTCTAAAACCCTTTTTTTAACAAATCCTTGTTCGCTCACCTGATCCAAAGTTGAAGGCTCAAATAAGCTTTTTTGATCAAAATTCATCCGGTGTCTGTCGTCGTCATTGCATGGCGTTGTTGGAGTTGACTTGTCGTAAACTTTTCACATTTTCATCTTCTCCAGAATTACTGGGCCAATTTCAACCAAACTTGGCACAGAGTATCTTTGGGTGTCAGAAGGGGATTTAAGTCTATTTAAATGAAGGGCAACACACTGATTCATGGGAAATAATTAAGAAATAGTGACAATATGGTGGCATGTTTTAAAATCTTTTTCTCAAGAACCACTATGCCAGGAAAGATGAAACTTATGGGGAAACATATTCAGATTTGTTAGAATCCTGACCCCCAGTGGAAAGGCGGGGCCACAAGGGACAATAAAATTTTACATAAGAATGTATAGGAAAAATCTCAAGAACAACAAAGTAAGGATTGGTCAAATTTATATGTAAGCATTCCCATCCCAGGTAGTGTAGATCCAAGTTTATTCAAATCATGACCTTTGAGGGTAGGGCAGGGCCACAATCGACGATCAAATTATTACATAGAAATGTATATAGGAAAACTTTAAATTTTATCCTTAGGAACAGCATAGTCATGATTAATCATATTTGTATGGAAGCGTAGATTTTGAGTTGTTCAAAGCAAGACAGGGAACGGGGGCTGGGGGGCCACAGTGTTATTCTAAACTAAAAGGGGAGAAAGCTACAGTTCGTCAAGGAAGTGTGCAAGTATCCTCATTTGTAAGTGTAGATTCAAATAAATCAAAGTCCCTTCTTTTCAAAGGTAGGTAATTAGGATCACTTACAGATTTAAACTTTTCAGAAGTTAACTGATCTCTGGGTTTTGTTCCCTATGTACAGTGCTCAAGTGAGTGACATGGCCCACGTGTATCTTGTCAATACTTTAATCATAGTTAGATTCAATAAGTTTAATTGAAAATTGATTCTTTTTTGGAGGGAAGGTGTATTTGGACTTCATTTTGGGAGAAAAAAATTTAAGTCAAGTTTATTTTTATCCAGAAGATAAATTTCTTTTAGAAATTAGAAAATATACAGTTTACATGGAAATTTTCACCCCCATTTTATTTTCACCCCTTTCGCCCAAATCACAAGTGGGTGAATTTAAAACAGGGCGAATTCAAATATCACAGTATAAATTCTTAAACAGAACTGGGACTGGGCAAAATTAAAGCGGGCAAATTTGTAAGCAAGTGTAAAAGGGTGAAAATAACACAGTGCGAAAATAACCCTGTATACAGTAATGACTATTGCTTTTGAAATACTGTAGACGTACTTTTTTCCACGATTTCATAACTCCGCGGAATCTCAATTTGGTAGGATTCTTCTCACATTTCTTGTATTTAAAAATTAACGAAATTTTCACAGAATCAAGAGGACAATATTACTGAGTGATGGTATCAGTGAAATTAAATTTGACCGTTTAATATTAAAGGCAAGGTCAGGTCAAGGTCATTACCTTTTTCCTGGACATTAAGAATAAAAAAATACTGTTTCCAATCATGATCCCTACTTGTTATTCAAATGATTGACTGTTTTTCTTTTTGCATAAAAAGATACCACCATACAGGGCCTATAAGATGATATTACCAAATTGACATGGATAATTTAGCAAAAATGGATATTTGCCTTTCCGAATTTCCTCTACTTTTCTTAAATTTTTAGGATATATTAATTATTTTTATATGCTTCCTATATTTAACTTTTTCTAATTTTCACATATAGAAAAGTTGTCACATAAAGGTGCAAAATGATACAAAAACTAAAAGTTTTGATCGTTTACTTAGAGAGAAATAACACTTTTTACGGATTTTTGGCTCAAATCAGTAATTAGATTTGAAGCATTTAAAAGCCAACATAGTTCTAGCATGTGTGAAAAATCTTATTTATTGGATATATTTTGAGACTTTAGTCCCTTATTATTAATTTAACTTACATTTGAAAATTTCGTCTAGTATTTGTATTAGCAAAATTATAACTAAATTTAATGTTCTGTAATAATTTTGAGAGGCAGAAAATAAGATATTTTCATACGCCACTATTCCGCCAAAAATATAGTTCCTGCTAGTTTTCAAACACTGTTTATCATTTCTATTTAAAATTGTATAATTGTGATGAGGAAAGAAAAATATGGTTTTTTAAATCTCTTACATCTACAGATATAAGACATATCAACAAATATACTTTAAATATTCCATCTAGTCAGAAACCAGAGAAGAATCCTACCTTTTAAGTACGCTTGGACAAATTTCCTCGGAAAATTTGTGACCGCATACATAGTGTAAATTAATACCACATGGAAAAAAGTACTTCTACAGTATACAAACTATTTCCTTAAGGAATATACAGAATATTTCACTAACAAGGCCACCATTTACTTCTGTTTTTTTTTTTTTATTTCCCAGGTACACAAAAGTTTACAGAGGATCAGAGAGAGGAAGTTGGCCCAGTTTATTCCCTGGGGACCAGCCAGTATCCAGGTGGCGCTGTCTCGGAAATCCCCATACATCCAAACGGCTCACAGGGTCAGCGGTCTAATGTTGGCCAACCACACCAGTATATCTACGGTAAGAATCACAAACTAGTATATCTACGGTAAGAATCACAAACTAGTATATCTACGGTAAGAATCACAAACTAGTATATCTACGGTAAGAATCACATGCCAGTATATCTACGGTAAGAATCACATGCCAGTATATCTACGGTAAGAATCACATGCCAGTATATCTACGGTAAGAATCACATGCCAGTATATCTACGGTAAGACCATAACGGCTAATATATTGGTCACAAACATCCCTTTCACCAATCCTGCCTAGTCAGGGGTAAACATCAGTTTGTGACTGTATAAATGGTCAAAAATAACATTTGTAAGGACAGTTATTTGTCCAATTTATACACCTTGTTTAAAAAGTGTTACGTAAGGGAGAACATTTGAAAATATGAATATACATTTTGTATGTTTAATTGAATTTTGTGTCTTTTCCCACAAGATGAAGCAGGGATTAATTTAGGTTTTTGGGGTAACTAACTTTTTCTGGAGAAATTGGAAAATTCAGCCGGGGTCTGGGAACTACTCGAGCGAGTATGAACGAAGGTGTGAAATATTCCAGTGATAATAACATTGTAATTAAGAGATATCAAAGCGTATTTTTTGGCTGATTGTTTTTCAATAGGACCCTAGGTATTGAAGATTTTTAAACTGTAATTTGTTGAAAATAAAGACATTTCAAAGAGAAAACGCCATTCACGAGAATCGGAGACACTTTCTGACAGCAAAACGAAATTTAGTCCATTATTTGCTTAGGCATACATATTGTCTATTCAAACACAGATTAAGAGAAATGCTTTTTTAGTACAATTTAAAAAATGCAGCTGAATGGAGACAACCAGACTCATACATTAAACAGTTTTTAAACACCGTACTTTTTAGGAAGTTCAGCATTTAGCATAGTTTGTTGCCAAAATTCGAAATTCTTCGAAGAGTTTCTTTAACTGAATAATGAACCATAATACTTGTTATGCATTGGTGCACCTGTACATTGATTTGAAATTTATTATTAAAAAATGAACACCTTACATTGATTTTTTGGTTGATTTTTCATACTGTTTTTTGAACAATTTTTTGTGTGCAATAAATGTGCATTGCAATACAGTTTTTTGATTAGCAATGTACAGTATTTTCACCATAATCCAGTATTTTGAAGACTGTTGTACAGTATTTGGGTCCAGAAATTATCACATGTATGATTAAAAGTGCATAAAGTAGCAAATTAAAACCATATATCTCATATACTGAAAAATTTTACTTTAAATTTTGGTCTTTATGAAGGAAAAAAATATTTGAGGTTTTTATTACCAGGTATCGCTAAAGAGAAAATTAGATCTTCAGGTGAAATTTTCTCTAGGGGAAAAACACCGAATATTGATAGTAAATATGGCCTAGATTAATCCCAGGAATAATACATGTATCAGTGTCAACTGTTTTAAAAAAAAAAATATATAACAGTTTTAATAACATTTGATCTTTAGGTGTGTGTGTATTGTTCTATAGATTTCTTGTTTTTCTTTAGTTATTTGAGCGTACACTACAACAGTATGACAAGCTAAGAAAAAGAGAAGCCTTCATGGATCAGTTCAAAAAGGAAGCCAATATTTAAGGACAACTTAGATGAGTTTGATAACTCAAGGGAGGTAATTCAGCAGCTGGTGGATGAATATCACGCAGCCACAAAGCCAGACTACCTCTCTTGGGGAACACAACAGGTGAATAGCTTCTTATAATTACCTCTATGGGTCAGAGTCTGTCAGTTTTCCCAAAAGTCTTGTCCAATACTCAAGTTTCGAGATTATCTCCCATGTTGCACTCTTCTGTTGAGGAGGAGAGTTTCGTTGCCTCATAAACAAAAGTAAATAAACATTCATTGATTTGAGCTGTCTTGTTGCAACCTAGTTATGGTTATCTTCCATCCTCATACCAACAGTTGTCATTGCTAAGGAGGAAAATTATTATACCCGCACTTTCTAAAGAAAGTTCGGGTATATTGTTGTTACTCATGTCCGTCCGTCCGTCCGTCCGTCCGTCTGTCACACTTTTCTTCCCTGAACTCCTCCTACATTTTACACAGTAGATTAATCATCTTTTAAGAGATGGTTGGTGGTGTCATGTGGATGTGCAGTAAGGTTTCGGAATTTTGATTTTGCCCCGGGGGGTCAAATGGGGGTCGAAAAATGACGTTTTTTGTGCAAAAAGTCCCTTCTTCCCTGAACTCCTTCTACATTTTACTCAGCAGCCAAATCACCTTTTGGGGGATGATTGGTGGTGTCATGTAGATGTGCAGTAAGGTTTCGGAATTTTAATTTTGCCCCGGGGGATCAAATGGGGGTCGAAAAATGACGTTTTTTATGCAAAAAGCCCCATCTTCCCTGAACTCCTCTTACATTTTACTTATCAGCCTAATCATCTTTTGTGGGATGATTAGTGGTGTCATGTAGATGTGCAGTAAGGTTTCAGAATTTTGATTTTGCCCCGGGGGGTCAAATGGGGGTCGAAAAATGACGTTTTTTGTGCAAAAAGTCCCTTCTTCCCTGAACTCCTTCTACATTTTACTCAGCAGCCAAATCACCTTTTGGGGGATGGTTGGTGGTGTCATGTAGATGTGCAGTAAGGTTTCGGAATTTTGATTTTGCCCCGGGGGATCAACTGGGGGTAAAATGACGTTTTTTATGCAAAAAGCCCCATCTTCCCTGAACTACTCTTACATTTTACTTAGCAGCCTAATCATCTTTTGGGGGATGATTAGTGGTGTCATGTAGATGTGCAGTAAAGTTTCTGAATTTTGATTTTGCCCCGGGGGGTCAAATGGGGGTCGAAAAAATGACGTTTTTTGTGCAAAAAGTCCCGTCTTCCCTGAACTCCTTCTACATTTTACTCAGCAGCCTAATCACCTTTTGGGGGATGATTGGTGGTGTCATGTAGATGTGCAGTAAGGTTTGGGAATTTTGATTTTGACCCGGGGGGACAAATGGGGGTCGAAAAATGACGTTTTTTATGCAAAAAGCCCCATTTTCCCTGAACTCCTCTTACATTTTACTTAGCAGCCTAATCATCTTTTGTGGGATGATTAGTGGTGTCATGTAGATGTGCAATAAGGTTTCGGAATTTTGTTTTTGCCCCGGGGGGTCAAATGGGGGTCGAAAAATGACGTTTTTTTGTGCAAAAAGTCCCGTCTTCCCTGAACTCCTTCTACATTTTACTCAGCAGCCAAATCACCTTTTGGGGGATGGTTGGTGGTGTCATGTAGATGTGCAGTAAGGTTTCGGAATTTTGATTTTGCCCCGGGGGATCAAATGGGGGTCGAAAAATGACGTTTTTTATGCAAAAAGCCCCATCTTCCCTGAACTCCTCCTACATTTTACTTAGCAGCCTAATCATCTTTTGGGGGATGATTAGTGGTGTCATGTAGATGTGCAGTAAGGTTTCGGAATTTCGATTTTGCCCCAGGGGGTCAAATGGGGGTCGAAAAATAACGTTTTTTATACAAAAAGCCCTGTTTTCCCTGAACTTCTCTTACATTTTACTCAGCAGCCTAATCATCTTTAAGAAGATTGTTGGTGGGGTCATGTAGATGTGCAGTAAGGTTTCGGAATTTTGATTTTGCCCCGGGGGTCAAATGGGGGTCGAAAATTGATGTTTTTTATGCTAAAAGACCTGTCTTCTCTAAACTCCTCTTTCATTTTACTCAGCAGCTTAATCACCTTTTGGGAGATGGTTGGTGGTGTCATGTACATGTGCAGTAAGGTTTCGGAATTAAGATTTTGCCCCAGGGGATCAAATGGGGGTCGAAAAATAACGTTTTTCATACAAAGAGCCCTGTTTTCCCTGAACTCCTCTTACATTTTACTCAGCAGCCTAATCATCTTTTGGGGGATGGTTGGTGGGGTCATTTAGATGTGCAGTAAGGTTTTGGAATTTAGATTTTGCCCCGGGGGGTCAAATGTGGGTCGAAAAATGATGTTTTTTTGTGCAAAAAGCCCTGTCTTCCTTGAAGTCTTCCTTAAATGTTACTCAGAAGTCTAATCATCTTTTAGGAGAGTTAAATATTTTGAAAATAATGTAAAACATCAACGTCAAGGGGTAACAAGATGTGTTTGTGAAACACTATGCGCCCGGCGTCAACAAAGTTCGAAAAAGCTATTTTTAGCATATAGGTCACAGTCAAGGTCACAAGGTCATTGACCTTGATGTTGTTTGTAAGAACTTAATTAGTGGGGTATGCATACTAAATATGAAGTCCCTATCTCCTATGGTTCAAAAGTTATGGCAAAAAGTGGAAAAAGCTATTTTTATCATATAGGTCACAGTTAAGGTCACATGGTCATTGACCTTGGTGTTGTTTGAAAGAACTTTATTAGTGGAGTATGCATACTAAATATGAAGTCCCTATCTCTTATGGTTCAAAAGTTATGGCAAAAAGTGGAAAAAGCTATTTTTAGCATATAGGTCACAGTCAAGGTCACAAGGTCATTGGCCTTGATGTCATTTGAAGGAACTTTATTAGTGCAGTATGCATACCAAATATGAAGTCCCTATCTCCTAAGGTTCAAAGGTTATGGCAAAAAGTGGAAAAAGCTATTTTTAGTATAAATTATTTTTTCGTAATAGGAGGACACAGTCAAGGTCACATGGTCATTGACCTTGGTGTTGTTTGAAAGAACCTTTTTAGTGGAGTATGGATACCAAATATGAAGTCCCTATCTCCTATGGTTCAAAAGTTATAACAAACAGTTGAAAAACCTATTTTTAGCATATAGGTCACAGTCAAGGTCACGAGGTCATTGACCCTGATGTCATTTGAAAGAACTTTATTAGAGGAGTATGCATACTAATTATGAAGTCTCTATTTCTTATGGTTCAAAAGTTATGACAAACAGTTGAAAAACCTATTTTTAGCATATAGGTCACAGTATAAGGTCACAATATCATTGACCTTGATATCATTATGAAAGAACTTTATTAGAGGAGTATGCATACCAAATATGAAGTCTCTATCTCTTACGGTTCAAAAGTTTTGGCCAAGGTTAAAGTTGACAACAGACAAACAGATAAACAGACAAACAGACAAACAGACAGGACAAAAACAATATGCGCCCTGAAAGAATTCGGGTGCATAAGAAAACATCGCATGCTGGGAAACACCTTGAATTCTTATGAGTAATTTATGTACATGTCAAATGTGAGAGTCATATCTCATCTCAATCAAAAGTTATAAGCAAATGCAACATTTTTGAAAAGTAGGTTAGGCTTGATCACTTCAAGGTCAAGGTCACAGTGTTAAAGTCATGATTTATTTGGAAAGGTCTTATCACAGGTAATAATATACATGCATTATGATATGAATGCCCTAACTTTTCTCTTTCAAAATGATGAATTTATAACCATTTTATTTTTTTTGCAAGTTGGTCAAACTTCTAGGTCACATGTAAAAAAAAAACCATGCCATTCTCACAGGTAAATATACTAATACATAAGTTTGATATGAATGTCTCTTCTCATTCACTAGATATGACCGTGATAACCAAGGTTAAATTTATTGAGACAGATGGACTGAGTCTGACATACAAATGTACATATTTCTATATGAATTGGGTAAAATTGGCCCAGTGGTTCTAGAGAAGTTAAAAATGTAAAAAGTTTTCAGACAAACAGATGGACAACACGTCACGACAGACATTATATGCTAAGGAAACCAAAAAAGCTCAAATGAGTGTTTTGAAAGGGTTACAATATGGTTGGAGTATTTGAAAAGCTGTTTTTTTTTCCTGCAGAGATATGCATGACCAACATATTCATGTTTTATATTTTCTTTAGTAATTTGTTTGTTTGTTGTGAATACATCTTCCCTCTTATGGAGACACCACCAAATAATAATGAAGATAAGATGTGTTTGTGAAACACTGATGTCCCAGTATGGAAGCCTATGGCGAAGGTTGAAGTTTCTCAAATATATGTCAAAATCAAAGGTCAAGGTCAAAGGGTTCAAATTGTTAGTATCAGAAGAAAGTCTTGTCACAAGGAATGCACATGTGAAATAAAGAAATCCCTAGTAATTCCTGTTCAAAAGTTAATTGCCAAGGTTAATTTTTTTGTTTAAGTGGTTCAAACTCTAGGGTCAAGGTCAAACATATTTATACCTGTTGACAGTTCACAATGAATACAATATGTCATGATAAGTATGAAAGCCCTAGCACCTACTGATCAAAATTTAGGCAGAGTTTAAAGTTTGGTATTTTTCTTGTAAAAATGTGTATCCCATGTCAAGCGATCAGAGGTAAAAATTAATGGTACCCAAATAAAAGGTCTTATTAAATTGTCACAAGAAATAAACCTATAAAATGTGGAAGCTATTTGTATAGCCCATCCCACTTAAAACTTATGGGCAAGCTAGCTAGGATTTAATTTCTGCAGACTTATAGACAGACATACTATAAACACAAGAAACAAAATATGTATAATAATTAGTCAAATGGAAAAAAATATACTATTTAACTGGAATCACAAAATACATTGTTATTTCAGGGACAGGAAGTGGGTAGGAAGATTGGAATCCCCCCCCATGGCATTTGCTTTATTTAAACAAGACTATATACTGTAGCAAGTAAAAAATGACTCTTGACATCCTCTCCCTATAAACTTAGAAAACATTGACCTCACTATCATTGTTTTTTTATTTGTTTATTTGTTTTCATTTTTTTTCTCCGGCTTGTCACGAAATTCTGGGCTGGAATTTTTTGACTGAGATGTGAACCCCCCTCCCTACTCCCGAAAAAAATTCTGGATCCGCACCAGTATTGGCAGTAACTGAATGTCACATCGACAACGGGAGATAACTTCACAATATGAAATTCGTCTAGTGTGGCACGCGATGATCTTTGACCCTTTTTAAACTTTAACCTAATCGTTTGGGTGTATTTTACCCCCCACTATACTAAAACTTCTACTTACCGACTCCCTGTGTCTCGTCAACTTCATGAAATATAAATCCAATTACCGGTATAACACAAAATGAATATTAATCCAATGCACACCAGACTGCAGCCATGTGCCATTTTGGCGAACCTTCGTCGATTCCATCACCTTATCAGATGAAGTGGGTATCGGCCGAGGTGTGCCAAATGGTGTTTAATCTATAAATATGATAATGGGTGACGCAACGTGATGTGATGAAGAAATTTACATGTTCACATGTATAGTACAAGAACAAATTTTAAATTAATTCATTAACAAACGATATTAAATTTTAACAAACCTTTTCCATCTAGCCTATTTCAAAAAGTTTGTGCTGTGTGATTGTGGTGTCGAGGGGGGGGGGGTAAATTTAAAAAGGTCCTATTATGAGCAAAACATATATCAAAATCTAATTTCAGACGCGGATCCAGAAATTTTTTCCGGGGGGGGGGGTCCACCTCAGTCAAAAAAAAATCCTATCCCAGAAATTGACAATCAAAAAAAAAAAAACCTAAAGTAAATCTCACCCAAACGTCAAAAACCTATATCGTGGGGGGTGGGGTGGGGGTAGTGGTGACTTCTATTGCCGCAAATGTTTAACTTTTCATACCTATTTTACACATATTCGTGTTTACCAGGGGGGGGGTCTGCATTTTCCAAGGGGGGTCCATTGTAACTTTTTCCTTGTTTTAGTATATACATTTTTTACCTTGTAAATTCCAGGGGGGGGGGGGGGGTCCTGACCCCCCCCTCCCCCCCCCCCCCCCCCCCCCGACAGATCCGTGCATGAATTTACATAATAAAATTCAGACTGGTATATAATGAATTAAGCATGTATAAAATAAATATAAGAGGTTCTGGATTATAGGTCACAGGGTCTGAGAATTTCATACTCAATTTGATGAATACATGTAAATTATAGAATTATTTTGACTATTTCTTTGGAAAGCCGCCCAATATGTAGGAGCGTGTATTTAGAGGCAAACACCTTAGTGCGGGTATTACTGTCTCATGACAGCATCTAGTTTATCTGTGATCAAAACAGTACCTACATCTCCTAAAATGTAACCAATAGTTTATTTCCCCAAGACAGAATCTATTGTCATTGCTAAGGAGGAAAATTCTTTATATGTGATCAAAACAGTACAATCTCCTAAAATGGAACCAATTGTTTATTTCCCCAAGACAGAATCTACTGTAAAATCATATCTTTGAGGGGTCAAATTTTTGTGGTTTGAGGAAAAACTTTTGGTTTGTGGGGATTTGATTTCATGGGTGAAGTATTGTTCACTAGTAATGTATGTTACATTTCGTGGTGGACATGAATTCGTGGGTCTCTTCATACCTGGAAAACAACAACAAGAGGCCCATGGGCCTTATAGGTCACCTGAGCATTATGCAACAACTTTCCAGTGATTGAATTTGATCCATGTTTTAAGCCAGATGCTATAGCATTTACAATTTTGATCATCATAACTATACACTTAGCAGTTGCTTAGTTTGGTTACTTAATACCCATAGGCAGGGTAGGGGAACAAAAAAAGCATTTCAACAAATCAGTAATATTCAGCAATAATCAGTAGTGCCGCTACCACACATGAACCCTTGACTCTTAGGCCTAGATCCACACTTTGCACAATTTTTGAAAAGGCATCCTTGCTTTTCAAAAATATTTGATTAATACCAAGGAGCAGATTTCAAACAATTCATTGGTACAACTGACCCTGGGGCCTTGAAATTCACAATTCTTGAAGATTAGGGCCCTTGCTCATAACTATATAGGTAGTTCATCTGCTTAATACCCAGGAGCAGAGAGGAAAATGTTCAAAGATTTAATGTTTTTTCACTATACATGTATAATCAAAAGAGCGCCGCCCTAACACAAGAACCCCTAACCCTGGGGCCATAAAATTCACAATTTTGGTAGAGGCACTCTTGCTCATCATAACTATGTACTTAATTAGTTTATATAAAACCTAGGAGCAGAGAAGAAGATTTTCAAAGAATTCATGTATTTTCACTGTATAATCAATAGAGCCCCGCCTTAACACCAGAACCCCTAACCCTGGGGCCATAAAATTCACAATTTTGGTAGAGGCACTCTTGCTCATCATAACTAAGTACTTAATTAGTTTATATAAAACCTAGGAGCAGAGAAGAAGATTTTCAAAGAATTCATGTATTTTCACTATATAATCAATAGAGCCCCGCCCTAACACCAGAACCCCTGACCCTGGGGCCATAAAATTCACAATTTTGGTAGAGGCACTCTTGCTCATCATAACTATATACTTAGTTAGTTTATTTAATACCTAGGAGCAGAGAAGAAGATTTTCAAAGAATTCATGTATTTTCACTAATATAATCAATAGAGCCCCGCCCTAACACCAGAACCCCTAACCCTGGGGCCATAAAATTCACAATTTTGGTAGAGGCACTCTTGCTCATCATAACAATATACTTAGTTAGTTTATTTAATACCTAGGAGCAGAGAAGAAGATTTTCAAAGAATTCATGTATTTTCACTATATAATCAATAGAGCCCCACCCTAACACCAGAACCCCTGACCCTGGGGCCATAAAATTCACAATTTTGGTAGAGGCACTCTTGCTCATCATAACTATGTACTTAGTTTAATTAATACCCAGGAGCAGAGAAGAAGATTTTTAAAGAAATAATGCATTTTCACTATATACTTATTTAGCCCCGCCCTAACACCAGAACCCCTGACCCCAGGGCCATGAATTTCACAATTTTGGTAGAGGACTCTATGCTGATTACAATCATACCAACAGTTTGATTGCTTGATGTCCAGGAGTAAAGAAGAAGATTTTTAAAGATTGCATTAATTTTAGTGGTTTTGGCCCCACCCCCCAGGCCCCAGGGGGCAGGGACCATGAAATTCATAATTTTTGTTCCCCTTAACCCATAGATGCTTTGTGCCAAAATTCATTGAAATTGGTGCAGCGGTTTCAGAGAAGAAGCTGAAAATGTTCAAATGTTAACGCACGACACACAACACACAACACACAACACACGACGCACGACGACGGACGAAAACAGATAGCAATAGGTCACCTGAGTAACTCAGGTGACCTAAAAATGAAACTCCCACGAAAATTTGTGATTTCACAGTACATGATTTAAATAAAAAAATTTGGATTGTACATTATATTCTTATTGTTTTGTTTCAGGCTGTAGCAGCAACAGGGGAGAGAATTTGAGACAAGACCATCTACAGTTTTCCATTTCAAAGCAACTGATCTACTGCATATATCGACTGTGTATCTATGACATAAGTGTTCATATCTTCCTCTTTTAGAAGTTGACATACCTTTACAGAGGAAACTGGGATCAGTGTTAAATGTAAAAATGAAACTCAAGCCATCTTTTTTGTTTTAAACATTGGAATTTATTATTCTGCCAGCATGCATTACATGTGTATTACACATGTAGAAAGAAGCATATATGCTAAATATAAATATGCACATAAAAAACCCTGAAATTATGTTCTGGTATACAAGGCAAAAAAAAATTAATTTCTTGGTTCTCAGGCCCTCCCTCATCTCTTCCAAGGGTGCCTCATTGATCATTTTTATTGCTTATTCAATAAAATAAAAACAATAAATCACCTCCCTCATCATTTTTTGAGGTTTTGCACAATGTAAAAAGCTGCATCATCATGTTTGGGGGACAACAAAAAGTAAAAAAAAAAATGCCTCCCTCCCTCATCATATTTCTTGAAAAAAAAAGGCTTGAGAACCAAGGATTTAACTTTGCATGGCCTAAAGAGAAGATCACCCTAACTTCATAAAAACACCCTATAAATAAAGCTCTATAGTGCAGTGTTTAGAGCTTCCTTAACAACATGTAAATCTAATTTATGTAGACATTTCAAGTCACGTTCTTCTTGAAACAATTTATTTTTGATAAAATTTGAAATGCCACAAATCTTGAAATAAAGATTTGTAGATAAAATTATATGTGTTAGATCTCTTTGTTTTTCGATTTTTAGTGTCTTTTTAGTGTCTTATGTAATACCCTCGGCGTCGGTGTCCCAGGTTAAGGTTAAATTTTTTGGAGCAGTTTTCTTTTTAAGTACTTCTATGTCCTATATTGATTAGACATGCATGGAAGATGCTTCTAGTGTGTTTCATTGTTAAAGTCATCGTTTCAGATGCTGCAATTTCAGCAAAGGAATGACCAGGTTAATGTTTCTGGAGCAGGTTAACATTTTTGGTGCAGTTTTTGGTGTAGGTCTCATTTCCAAGGAACTATGAGCCCTATGTTGACCAAACTTGCATGGATGGTACATCTAAGGATGCACATTACCAGGCTTGCTTTGGATGCTGAATTTGACCTACATTTTCCGGTTGAGTGAACAAATTAATGTTTTTGGTGCAGGTCTCATTTCCAAGTAACTATAAGCCCTATGTTGACCAAACTTGCATGGATGATACATCTAAGGATGCATATTACCAGGATTGCTTCGGATGCTGACTCTGAGTTACATTTTCTGGTTGAGTGAAGAGGTTAAAGTTTTTAATGTAGGGTTCATTTCCAAGATACAATGAGCCCTATAATGACCAAACTTGCATGGATGGTACATCTTAGGATGCATACTACCAGACTTGCTACATTTTCTGGATGAGTGAACAGGTTAAAGTTTTTGACGCATGTTTCATTTCCAAGTTACAATGAGCCCTATAATGACTAAACTTGCATGGATGATACATCTTAGGATGCATACTACCAGACTTGCTTCAGATGCTGAATCTGACCTATATTTTCTGGATGAGTGAACAGGTTAAAGTTTTTGATGCAGGATTCATTTCCAAGTAACTATGAGCTCTTTAATGACCAAACTTGCATGAATGATACATCTAAGGTTGCATTCTACCAGGCTGGCTTCAGATGCTGAATCTGACCTACATTTTTTTCTGGATGAATGAAGAGGTTAAATTTTTATGCAGGGTTCATTTCTAAGTAACTATAAGCTCAATGTTGTGCAAACTCACATGGATGATACATCTTAGGATGCATACTAATGGACTTGCTCCGGATGCTGAATTCGACATACTTTTTCCAGATAATGGACCAGGTAAAATTAAGTTATAGGTGCAGGTCTATTTAATACCAAGAAACTATAAGGCTTATATAAACCAAACTTGTGCAAATGATGCATCAAGGGATGAAAACTCTCAAACTTGCTTCAGATGGTGGATTTTAATCACATTTTCATGATGAAGAACTAGTTTGAAGTTTTTATGAAGGTCTGTTCCAAAGTATAAGATCAAAATTGCATAAATTTTGCATTTTTGGATGTACACTTTTTGTTGAGTAATTGTGTGACTTTGCCTTAATTAAAGACAACATTCGTTGAGGTGAGCTCTGTAATCTCTGATTACCTATGTTTTTATATTAAAATATATGGTAGAAAACCGAAGAGCTTGTGAAAATAGTAAGGTGTCCATTTGTTTGTGAACAATTTTCAAAACAATCATATTAAAATCGAAGCTTTGTCATGCGATATGTACGAATGTATGGAAATAGCATCTTCCTCGTGCATAGAGGAATCCAAATTTGAAGAAGAGATAAAATATGATGCTGAATTCTGGCAATAAAGGTCAAGACAAAAAAATCTGCTTTAAAGCTGACGGAGGGAATTAACTCTTTACAACTTTCTGAATTGTTATGCAACATACACTTCAGGTTCACGTCATATAGAAATATGACGTTATCATTTCCCCACAAGCACTTTATAGTGTGATACAAGTTTCTCTAAAGTTTGGCGTAAAAAAAATTATGACGTAATATTTTAATAATAGAATAACGTTTCTTATTTTATGAAATTTAAGCAAGCATAAGATATAAGGAATTTGGCAATAAATTGCAGATTAAATGACTTTTTTTAAAGTGCGTGAAAATGCGTGATTGCGGGGTAATGGTATATGCGTGATTTTGCGTTAGAAATAGGAAATGGTATCTGCGTTAAAATGCGTGACTGCAGGGAAAGGGGTTGACAAGATGTCCAAGGGCCTTAACTGTTACATGTACCTGAATGTAATACAGCATTATGTATAAAAGATCGACAGAAGCAATTCTTGCAGAGATGGATATGGAGATAACGAACAGTATTCAATACCAAAGTCCATAAAACAATACAAAATAGGAGCAGACCTATGAAACATCAGAGGTGGGATCAGGTGCCATGGAGGAGTGAGCATCCCCTGCTCTATTGCCATAAGTATCACTTTACCCCCCCCCTCCCCCCCCCCCCAAAAAAAAAAACATCAGACCTTTTTTTAATGAGAGGACAGAAGCATACAGAAGCGCTGTTTTCTATAGTATTCTATATATATCGACAAAATTATTTAGGACAAGTCCCCGTATCCCCCCCTCCGAGGGATCTTACGGTCATGAAGAAAATAAGATAAAACATGAAAATATCAAGAAGTTAGAATTTAAAAAATAAGAAATAAAGTCGTTAAAATTTATTTAATTTGGAAAAAAAAAATTTTAATATGAAAATTAAATAAGAAATATTGGAAAAGAATTGTGGCACTGAGAGTGCGGAAATAAAAATTCCGGAAAACAAAGTTTACAACGTCAAAGATACACAGATTTATAGATCTACTTTGAACTCAAAGTCAACACAGTTGTATTTTCTGATCTACATGTATATGCTTGGATGTCTGAATTACCTACTTACATATGTAGAACATGAATTTGTCACGATTATATACAAGGTTGGATTTACAAACTTGCAAGATTGGATTTTTGAACACGATTACCCTCCTATTAAATATGTAGGTGAACCGTGACCAGGATAGGATTTTCATTGTCGTGACGTGAGTAGTGCCTTGTATAGACACGTGTTACACAATGTGAATCCTATTCAGTGATTCGGGCTGAAACATATTATTTAGTAAAACCCGTTTTTCCATCTTGCCTATTGTTGGGTAAAATAAATTCACTTTTTCTTGGGCGTAGAGTGAGGTATGTTGTAACAACATTTTTCACTTGTGGTTTTCAAACGGTGATTGTTTTCAACTACTCTTTATTTTTTAAATAGTTTAATTATAGAATTGAATTAAAAATGTCGTCAGAGGATTTAAGATATGGTCGGGGTCTTGAGGCATCTACTCCAGCACGCTTTAACAAATAGAGTCTCAACTAAATCTGGTTTGGCTAAGCTAATTTTTTTTTATGCAAATATCATCTTTTCAAGCTTTGTTTATGAATGGCTCGTGCATGACACCTCACAAAAACCTATTCTGAAGCACACCTTTGAATTGACAAAATTTCACTTTTCAAAGTTGAGCAAAATAAATTTAAATTTTCAAACCCTGACTATATTCTGATATTGATATTGGGAATGGGTAAACAGGCCGAAAATTTTGTTAATTAAACGACGCGCGCATGCGCTAGTGAGAGGAAAACAAGTAAAGTTGACCGGCTCAAGAAACCCAAATTGCGCAATTGATTGATTGCATATCGTTTAACGACCCTCTCGAGAATTTTTCACTCATATGGAGACGTCACCGTATGCCGGTGAAGGGCTTCAAATTTAGACCTATACTCGGCACTCAGGGCCATTGAGCAGTGAGGGTTCTTTATCGTGCCAGCGCCTACCGTGACCTACGTTTTTAAGGTCATATCCGAAAGACCCGTAACTTTCACTTCCGATGCCGAGCGCTTGGCGAAGGAACAGTCACTACCTATTTTTACGTCTTAGGTTTGACGCGGCGCCGCGATCGAGAATCGAACCTGGTCCTCCCGATCACGAAACGAACGCTCTACCACTAGGCTACCGTGACCGGTTTAATTGCGCAATTGGTTTCATTCAGTTTTGGGTTGAATGTAATGATTATGATTGTCTATTCTATTAATAGCCGTTTTGTGGTAGTAAGGTGGTGATTAAATAAGTGGCAGGACAAATAACCTGATCTTAACGTGATGCTAGCTGTTTGGCGTCATGGTCACGGTTGGTTGCAAACCATTCAAGATCTTATCTGACAACGGGTAATACATTCTATGGGGGAAAATTTACAAAAAAAATGTTCTGTAACGCGTCGTTGCCTTTATCCTTACTAAATCAATTCGAAAACCATACCCTATGGAACTTTCGTAAACAGTTCCAAGCTTGCAAGAAATTCATATCGGCTGTAAATATTGAAAAACAATGTTTATACTTCAAGTGCATCAAATGGTACAACAAGATTTGTTGACAAAACTCGTCATCATCAATGTGCAGGTGTTTTGGGCTTTTTAGCGTCTTCCCTACGTGACGTCATACATTTTACGGTTGAGTTATGCTGACCCACTGAATTTGGTGCATAGTAACTGACTTTCTCATCTGACCAATTTTCGTAATTTTCGATCATGCGGTTAATTTTTTTTTTTTTTATCGATTATGCTACCCTGCGTTTATTTCTTCCCTTTCAGTATAGTGTATAGGTCTCTGTTTGAATTTGAGAGAATTAGACAGACCGATAGTATGCACTTATCCACTGACTGTGAGTGGGATAGCTCTTTTATCAAACCCGCGACAGGAACTATTCCCCAAGGGCTTGCCCGAGGGGAATAGTTCCTGTCAAGGGTTTGATGAAAGAGCTATCCTATTTACTGCCAGTGGATAAGCGTTTTATTATAATGATGTAGTTTGTTTTGTGCGGTTGGAACTCTTCAATGTTGAAGGTAACGCCGACCAATCAAATGACGGGAAATGAAAATTGGCGCTAAAATTTGCATGAAAATTTCCGGGGGTGGATAGCAAAATCTATACCCCGAGGTATACTTTTGCTATGCGTGGAAATTTTAGACTATATAGAAAAATAGATATTTTACCTTCCTTACTTTATGTAGGAAACATTTTAACAGACTGAAGTATAATAGAAAATCTTACTGCTGAATGTTCTAGGTTAGAGGATGAGATAAACAGAACGAAAGCTGAGAAAGAGAGATTTAGAAATTTACAT